TTCTCCCCTGCCCTGGGGTCTCAGTTGGTGCCACACTCCAAAATCAGCTGGCTACATTTCAAAAAGGAAACCCCCTCTCCAACTTCTGGCCCCAATCAGATTTCAAAAATGCATGTCAGCTCAGCCTACATTTCCGTAATAAAATGACAAATAAGGAGTAGGGGAGGGAGCTTATTATTGACTGACTTGGCATTGAACAGCAGAAACCAACAGGCGAGCTCTAGGGGTCTGTTAACATGATCATTTGGCTGGATGCTGGAAGGAATGTTAAAGAATATGAATATTGCAAGCTTTCTAAAAATAGAAGAATATTAGAAGTGTCCTTTTAGCTACTTCATATACATATAGAAAAAATAATAAACAAACATCTGCATAGCCGTGAATTCCTAGATGCTCTCCACATTGCAATGGCAATTTCATCAAGCCTACCAATAACTCCCTTCTGAGATTCCTTCTGTAGTATCTCAATGTAACTTTCTATCTTATAGGTTCCATATTTTGAGAAGCATTACAGAAAACTAAGGCTGCAGCAATCTAGTAGAGAAAGGGGCATGTCTTTCTCCCATGATGTAAATGTTATGGTCTGTGCTTTCTCATACTGTAGCTCTACTGATCTTCAGGATAACAAAATAAAAACTAAAAAGCCTCCCCTCTGAGATCTAATTTATCATCTTATGTTACTGGGCCCTTTTCTCCTAGCTTCTTTCAGGATACAACGGACCAGCTCCTGACTATAAATTAGAATTAGATATTAGATGAAGCAATCCAAACCCAAGATTTAGCACACAGTCTCTTTCCATTTACTGTGGTCAGCTTTTCATTTCCAAGAAACTGTAAGCTGGAGAATAAATTAACAGCTCCTCCAAATTCAGAAAGCTAGGTAGGAGAGAAATCATGCCTTTACAGAAATCATACTCTGCTGTTTTCTCAATTACTTGCTTTATTCCTGTTACGAGTCCCTTTGACATAAAGGATCTTGGCGCACTCGTGTTTACTGTTTTACTTGAAAAATGTCCTGTCATTTCACAGGATCTCAAAGAAAGCACTGTTGATTTTGTTACCATGATTTCCACAATACAATTTCTGATCTGTTTTAGTTGATAAATACCAGACGTATTATAAACTGGAAGATGACATGATGTATACTTAAAATACGTAATAAAATCTGATATTGTTAGAGATGTTCACCTTTAATGAAGTGGTTTTCTAGACAATTAACTTCTATACACTGAAGTACAGTAATCCAGATATTTTTCAAATATGTTATTTGCTGGATGTTCTTCTCTCTTATTTCTCCAGATGTCTTCCCTCAGCCTTTTTTCTTCCAACTGAATTCATTTCTATTCTTGAAGGTAGCTGAAGGATAAATTGGAAAAGCAAACCTGCACTGGAGGCACAGAGTGGGATTTGTGTGTTGGATGGAGCTTGAAGGGATCAAAAAACCCCTTCAAAACACAGTTGGGTAACCACATGATCAAGCATAGTCCATTATTATATTCCTTTGTTGTTTTTCAATGTTGGTTCTTTTGAGGCAGTTTTGACCACTAGTGATTATCTGAACTAGTCCCTGCAGTTTTCTTGGGAAGGTTTTTCAAAAGAGGTTTGCCATTGCCTCCTTCCTAGGCCTGAGAAAGTGACAAGGCCATCCAGTGACTTAGTGCTTAAGACAGGTCTAAAACTCATGTTCTAGCCTAGTACTTTAGTTAGTGCACCAAATAGGGTCTTGTTTTCAATATTTCTTTGCTCAAAATTTTCAGCTAGTGTAGCAAAAACATTTAAATTTACAATAAATGTTTCTGCTTTCTGGCAGGTAATTCTACAAATTTAAATGTTCTTTGTATACTTGATAGGACGTACTTGCTGGACTTCCACAGAGAAATTCTTAGAAAAAGCCAGTAGGTGAAGAAATTAATGAAGGGGCAAGACATGAGATAAGCCAGCTGCCGGCTCCCTCGGTGCCTTCTGGTACTGAAAAATGTACAAGTTACATTCAAGCGGAGACTTAACTGCTAAAATAGAAGGTATATTTTGAGGGAAATTGTTAGCAGTGCTATAAATTGCAGAGCACAAACTCTAAGATATATTCTAATTTGATTTCCTGAAATTCCCACTTACATTTTTACACAAATGTATAACCTAATCTTGTGTAGCTTCTTCTCTGGTAATGTTGTACTACTAACTAGAGCATACAAAACATTTGCTAGACCAATTCTTGAATACAGCTCATCCGTCTGGAACCCACACTGCATATCGGACATAAATACAATCGAGAGAGTCCAGAGTTATTTTACAAGAAGAGTTCTCCATTCCTCTAACCGCAATAAAATACCTTATGCCACCAGACTTCAAATTTTGGGCTTAGACAACTTAGAACTACGCCAACTTCAGTCTGACTTAAGCATAGTACATAACATTATCTGCCACAATGTACTTCCTGTCAATGACTGCTTCAGCTTCAGCTTCAACCACAACAATACACAAGCAAATAATAGATACAAACTCAAGGTAAACCGTTCCAAACTTGATTGCAGAAAATATGACTTCAGTAACAGAGTGGTCAATGTCTGGAATGCACTACCTGACTCTGTAGTTTCTTCCCCAAACTCCCCAAACTTTAACCTTAAACTGTCTACTGTTGACCTCACCCCATTCCTAAGAGGTCTGTAAGGGGCATGCATAAGTGCACCACCGTCCCTGTCCTAATATTCCTTTTTACTTACTCTTTTCATGTATTCAAATTATATTTATACTTTTACCTGTTATCTTATATATGCTTGACAAAATAAACTTATGACTTATAAATGGTTTTCTCTATACTGTATGTCTGTGTACTTAAAATTTGCCAATATTTCCCCATAGATAATTAGCTGGAATGGTTCATAGCAAAAAGGAAAGAAGGCAATAGCTGAAGGGGGAATATATCAACCAGGATGTCATGAATATGAAGTTTAGTATTAATTTGCACTTCGTGGACATGTTACAAAAGCAATGGGAAAGAAATCACCTTTGTCTGCCCTTGCCAAATGGATTCATGTATTGAATTAAAGCTAAAGCACAAAGGAGAATATTAAATGTTTCCTCAAGGTCTTCTAATAGAGCATAAAGTTGACAATGCTGCTAAGCCTATGAACAGTAACAAGAAATACAAAGATCTTAGAGCAGTGGTTGACATCTGCAGAATCTCATTATAGCATCCATAGGCCTTAAAAATGAAAATACTTTAAACATGGCTCATAATATAGCAAATATCTCAAGATGTAAGAGCTTGTGGTACTTCGGAAAACATGTTCTTTCTGGCACACTGTCATCCTTCTTATTGTATGATGATGCCCATTATTTGAAAAGACTCTCAGTCTATCTCTGGCTCAAAGAGAACAGAGTTGTCCTAAAGAGCCAGCATTGTTCTATTTAGCTCCATCTAAGCAGAATTGCGTTCAAAGCAACTTAAAGGAACTCCAGTCTAAAAGATAATAAAGTTGGAGTTTGGTCTTATATACTGTACATGCTTAAAGAATACCAAGTAGTATATTCTGGCAGACTTATTAAAAAGGAAACTATAACTAAATGGCTATGGAAAAGTTCATAAGCAAATATAAAGAAAGTAAAGGGTTGTGGAGGAATATGGAGATAACCTTGAGGAAGAAATGCAAGAGCCATTAAGAGAAAACCTTGGGAAAGGAGTGAAAGAACAAAATTCAAAATAACCTGACCTTGATTCTACTTGATATGAGAGGGGCAGAAGGATAACTTTGCTGGTTTTCAAGACTCTGCTGTTTTACTCAACAACATTAAATAGTATTCCTGATATTAAAATTGTTTTAACTCTGTGATGTTATTGGAACATATGCATAGACTCCTCCTCCTCCTCCTCCTCCTCCTATCTTCTGGTCCTGACTCTATAGCCCTGGAATTTCCTGTTGGTCTCCCATCCAAGTCCTGACAAAGTCTGAGCTTTGCAAGTTCAGCCAAGGTTGAATATCTGCTATCATTTATTGATAATTGTTCAGCTTCTTTAAAAGCCATGTAAGTAGTGCTCCAAAAAGCATTTTTGAAAAATAAAAATGCTGGTAATTGAAGTCCAATGTTGCATATAACTCTGCCTTTTGGCTCAAAAAAAAAAAAAAAAAAAGGACCAAGATAACCTGGCACTGCATAGAAGAGCCTTGGAGGACCATGTGTGTCTGTGTGTGTGAGAGAGAGACAGAGAGAGAGCGAGAGAAGCAGGAAAGTGCATTTTGAAAGTTCAAGGACATAGCAAGCAGTTAAAGCTCTGTATTTTACTATGCATGTGAGATTGTTTTTGTTGATTTGGTGTGGTTTTTTGCCTAGATATTTGTTTATGATTGCCGAGATTTTAGAGTATGCATATGTGAGTGTTCATCTGTTCTTTGAGCATCATTAGGGTTTTTTGTTTGTTTTGTTTTGTTTTAAACTGAACTTTTGTTTGGTATAAGTGCCTGAGCTGCCTGAGTTTTAGGAGTCAAACTCACTTAAATGCTCACAATATGATTTTAAATTTCCAAATGCCACCTCAAAAATTTGGCAATTGTTACTGTAATGAATCAGCATCACACAGATGGGTAGCACATGTATTTACTAGACTGCTGTTAAACATTTTTTGAATACATCATTTGAAATGATAGCAAAGTAGCTGTGGATTTCCCCACCAGCATTTGACCTTGACTTCTTACACATTCTGCTCTTTGCCTGTGAAGTAAATGTTGGTGACCCAAATGCAGCAGAAAACATTGTCAGAGGATGTGCTCCTAAACATAAGCAGAATGTTGAAAAAGTGGTAGCTGAGCATCTCACTGAAAAAAAAGAAAGGTAAACATTATTATATAGATGTTTGGATGTAGAATATTGGTTTAGCCCAGCTCTCAGTGGGAATTGACATTATTCTATTGGAAGATAGATTGATTATTGTCATTAATTTGACAAAACAGAGAATAAATAAAAGAAAAATAAAGGAAATTCATGTTTTTTTTTTTAAAAAAAAGCTTCATCCTACTTAACTGCATTTTGAGAAGAGGGAAGCAGAAGGCTCAACAGAATGTGAGTGAATCAAGAACATTTCTTTGCCTCTTAAATGCAGATCATTCTCATTAAGAAGAGACCAGGTGAGAAACAGATGAAGGGACAATGTGTGAAGATCTTTCCCCTTAATTATATTTCTTCATTTTCCACAGTGGTCAAAATGAGCTCATAAATGCAGTCTTCCCATCATATCCAGAACCCACTTTTAGCACTCATCTTCTGCTGAAGCATCTGAATCCCTCTTAGGACTGTGGTTTGATCAGCATATCAGTCCTGTTTCTACATTCTGATAACGCCTTATACAGCTCATGCATAGTGCTGTTTGGGATCAATCTGCTTACAGTTTGGCTTCACTAGCTGAAATATACTTTGCCTTGGTGGAGGACAGTACCGTAATAGCTTGTTTCCTGCTGGTCAGCTGATTCCCCCCCCACCACAGAGGAACAGAGTCCTGCTTGTAAATTTGTGGTCTGCTCTATCTTTGGCTCAGTTTGTGTCATGTATCCAATTAGTTCAGGGTTGCTGCTTGTTGGCAGTTTTAACTTTAAGTCAGCAGTGCCCTTGAGGTATCTGCCCAGCCTCTTGACTGTTGTCCAATTGCTTTGGGTTGTCACACTTCCTTCTCTGCATAGAACTCCCACTGCTGTGGTAATGGCTCGTCTAGGGATTGTTGACACATACAGAGACTTTCCAATTGCAGGTATGTATTTACTGATGCAGGAAAAGGACTGCTGTTCTGTCTTTTTTTTTCCAGAAAGTTACAACCTCCATTGGTGCGTTGATTGAGTTTGTCTCAGTTAACCCTAGGAATTCTACATTGTGCCTAAACATCTCTTTCTGGTGAAGAATAGATAACTTTCTTTTTCATCTTCTTCAATATGAATTCCAAAATACCAAGAGAATTTCACCACTCATTTTCCCAACAACTTCTTTTGTTCAGGTGCTGTACAATTATCTTTATAACTGATTATTAAATATTAAACACTGAACAAAAAACCATTTGTTGTTTTACAATATTAAATATATGCAAGGGTTAACCTTCCTAAAGCAAGGTTTCGTTTTCCTTTTCTATATCCCGGGGGCCTGTTTTAGGCCACAAAGGCTTTTTTGTGGTTTGCACACAAATTTCTTTTTGCCAGCTTCAATGACCCCTGGGAGCTATTCATTTCTTCCTCTGAGACCCTCAACTTCCTGTGGCTTATGGCTGGTAATATCATTTTACTTATTTGTTTCTTTGCTATGCCACCCACCTCACTATCAAGCAAACATTAAATATTAAATAGAGATTTAAAAAGTTATAAAACCAGAATAGTATCGGGTAGATCTCCCTCCTAGTCCAATAACCACATCCAACACTGATTGCCCTCACTGAGACACCAGGCCAGCTGGCAGATCCAGGTTTTGATGGAAGGCCAAGAGGGTGGGGGTGGATATCACCTCAAGGACCATGATGTTCCAGTGGGGTGGGGCCCATGGCAGAAAAGACCTTCTCTTGGACCCCACCAACCAGAATTCCTTGACCAAAGGGGTCCACAACATGCCCCTTCTGCCAGAATCAATGTGGTGGTGGGCAATTCCATTGGGATGAGACAGTTCCTCAGGGACTGTCAGTTTCTTATTGGGTCCACATTTCACTCAGAAGGACTACCAAGGACTAAAAGGGAATTCTAAAAAGAACAGGTGCATTTGGAAGTCATAGGCTGCAGAACACAAAGAATCAGACGGAAAGTCCATGCTCTGGAGATTTGATTAAGTTTAATTATTTGCTATAAAACGTAAAGAAGCTGCCTTGGCACAACGAAGCAGGAAAAGCAGCGTGTGTCCAAGAAGCTTTTATTTCATGCTATTTTGTGAGATGATAGCTTTAAAAAGTGAGAACTGGGCTCCAGTTCCAACATTTATGAGAGAGAAAGGAAGAAAAATCTATCAGAGCTTGGAGTGGAAACTTACAACCCACTCAGCATATATAAAATGAACTCTGGGCAACAGACAGTAAAACTTTGAGAGGAATGGCATTTATGGTCAGGCAACTGCCCTCTTTCAAGTTAAACTTTTTTCTGACAGCTCGAATTCTCTGCTGGAGGCCATAAATGCATTTTCTGTCCATATCCATTATGAAAAGATCTGGATTTTGGATAGGAGAAAAGCAAGAAAGAGCATCTGTAGGATGAAATAATATTTTTTATGGAGGGAATGTGATAACTATTACAGAGAAACATTGGTTATCAACAATTGCACACTCTCTATTTCTTCCTAATGTTTTGATATCTGTTACTGTTGAAAACCTCATCTTCATTTGTTCTAATGGAGAAATTTTGGAGATGCTTTTCTTATTTTTGTTAGTGTGAATTGCTTGACTTGCCTTTCTTTAGCTCTCATTATTTTCTACAAGCTTCTCCCCTTGGACAAAAAGCAATACTTAGAGAAGGGGTGTCCAATCTTTACTTTAAGACTTGTGGACTTCTTTTTTAAAAAAAGTTTTTTTATTTTTTAGACAAACAAACATTTAATACATCAGTTTTCTCTTCCCTGTGACATCTCGGTGTTATCTTCCAAAGTTCTTTCTTTTTCTGTATAATTGTCAGTACTTCTATCTTGATCCTTGATCCTTTAAAAAAAAAAGACTTGTGGACTTCAAATCCCAGAATTCTCCAGCCAACCCATGCTGGTTGGGGAATTGTGGGAGTTGAAGTCCACCAGTCTTAAAGTGGTCAAGGTTAGACACCCCTGACTAGTGCTAAAAAATAGCAGGCTTCAACTTTTCCTCCGCAATACATCTCTAAATTCTCTTTTTTTAAAAAACAAACTTGTCTAGTTATGTCATTAGAACAAAACTATTTCCTCTATTGAGAAAATAGCTTTGCAGCTGTTCTGTAACCAGGTCTGACCTACTCAGACTCCTCACATAGTATTTCCACCATCCCAATTCAACACCATGCCTGCGTGATCTAGTGACATTAGCTCTGTTAAACAACTGAACTGAACTTTATTTATGGCTGAACTTATTTTCTCGTAAAAGTTCTGGAATTCTGTGGTGCTTGTGAGGAAAACTCCTGCTCCCCTTCCCCTACTTCCTGATTTCTGGACTCTTCCTTTCCCTGCAGAAATTATGCTATTGTTCTTCGCTGTTTTAAAAAAGGTGCATAGCAGGGGTGAAATGCTACTGGTTCTGACCGGTTTGGCCGAACCGGTAGCGATGGCAGCGTGAGGCTCCGCCTACCTGCCCAGTCGTTGTTCCTGGAAGTAACCTGATTTTTACCCTCTGCGCATGCGTAGAAGGGTTTGCGCATGCACAGAGAGTCCACGGGTGCATGTGATGCGGCATGTGCACTTCTGAATCGGTAGGGAAGGTAAGTAGATTTCACCCCTGGTGCATAGGCATAATTTCTTAAGAGCATGGTAATTTTTGTAGCGAACCCTGACTTTGAGTGTTCTAATGTCTTAAACAAGAAGATAGTGGATGCATGACAATGAGGCAGGGGCTGGCAGCCATTTTTTATACTAAACATACTCATCAGCTGGAGGTTTCAAGGGTCATTTCATGGGGTGTTCCTTCTCTTTTGAGATCAGAAGTAATAAGGATGATTATGAGTAGATTCTGAGGATTTGGGGATTGCAAATGATTACAACATGGAATCGACTATGAACAACGTTGAATGTATCTTTTTCCCATCTTAATTAAGGAAAGAAGGATTGCAGGTCTGCAATTACTCTAGTTGAAGAATATAACCACATAACTCAAGAATCCCTCACTATGCAGTCTTTTTATAAATCTTATACTGAGGTAAAACTGCCTTTAGGAACCCAAGAATGTGGGGAACACCCTTCAATCAGCTATAGCCAGGACTAACACAATGCCTAAAACTCAGGAAGACACTATTCTATAAATTCACAGTCCTTGTACAGATGGTTCTCAACTTATGACATTTATGACCATTTATTTAATGACAATTAGAAGTTATGATAGTGCTGAAAAAAATTACGACTGGATGCAATGTCCCAGGGTCATGTGATTACCATTTGCGAGCTTCCCAAGGGGCTTCTGCATCACCTTCGAGGATAGATCTTGAATAATTGTGCTATAGTAAATGTGGCAAAGGTATCCCTATCCCCAAAAGGGGAGCAGTTGGTGTACCTTTTAAAGCTGAACAAAGTTTCTCTTGTCCATGTTTTCCATCCGTTGCACAAGCAGTAGCTGCCAACAGGACTCCAAGTTCTACTCTTTAAGGGAAAGCACATTGCTGCCTTGGACCAAACCGATTAACAAATTGTTTACCTTCTATAGCAATTCTATCTTTTCCAAAATATCCCCCCAAAGAGAAGTTGGAGATTGGGTGGAAGTTGTCTAATATCACTGGATTGAGCAATAGCTCCATCAGAAAGAGGCCTATCACAACTCCAGTTCTCTTTCAAACCACCAGCTGAATGTATGAAGGTCAGAGAGAGTAAGGGAGGGGGTCAGTGGGCATGCTTCATCTGCTATCCGTTTTCAGACACTAACGCACTCAAGCAAATTCCTAATGCACAATAAGAAATCAAATGATCTACCATGAGTTGGTGAATGTCATTAACAGCATGTGGTAGAGAACTGACTAATATTTAACATTGCAGGCAAAGATTGATCTAGTTTCAGTCCTTGCAATTATCCTGATCACTGGGGGTTAGGATTATGCTCTACTGGATGTCGGCATAATCTGATTTGAAACAGAAGCCCCTCTTGCCTGATTCTCAAATTAGATCCTTTAGAAGATTCTGCAAAGACAGAAACTGGTCTAATTTGACAGACTGACATTTCATTGAATTATGTGAAAACAGAGGAGAGTGAAGCAAAGGATTTTGGGGCAGAATGGACCAGTGAAAAAATGGAAGAAAGACGGTTTGGATGAAGTTGGCCTGGCTGTTTATTTAATATTCTTTATTACTGCCAATTTGCAATAAAAGAGGTTAGTGGAATTGGAAAATAAACAACAATCAATCTCCTTGCCAGCTGTGTGCTTATTAAAACCTGAAGGAGTTTTGCTCCTGAAATAAGATATTATTTGTTCTAATGGGATTTTTTTTAAAAAAAATCTGGTTTTTAATAGCAAAGCCAGATCGATACATATTCTAATTCAAATGCTTTTAGCATTATTATTATTATTACTATTATTATTATTATTATATTATTATTATTATTATTTGCTATTCAGAAAAATAGAATAACAGATCTCTTCAAAAGACATGTTGTGTGACCAATTAATATTCCATAAGGTTTCTTTTAGATTCTTAGGGTTTTTTTTTAAAACCATCTTGACTTCTTGAGATTCATTTGTACTAAAATTAATACATTCACTACTAGAGAAAAAGATGATGATGGGAATAAAGGTGAGTGTAGCTCTGGAATATAAGCATTTCTTAAAAACAGATTTGCTTATAATATGTGTTCTATTCACCTTCTATGTTTTAAATGTAAGTTTAGCAATTTCTGAGGAATATACCAAAATAATTATGTGTGAATGGCCATTAGTCTCATCTCAGCATGCACTATTTTCCCTCTTGATATTTAAAATATGTGATTCTTTGGATTTCTGTATAGTTGGATTAATGAACACTGCAGATGCGCAGCATCAGGAATAGAGTGTTGTATGAATGACACATTATAAATGAAATTGGAAAAAATAACATTTTCCTGGATTTATTCCTAGAGGAAGACAGTAATCTAACAGAGAAAGAACAAGCTCCTCCATGCTAATCATTCCATTGCATTCTTTCAAATGTCTGTATCTTATTGTTCATCTCCAAAAAATGTCAGGCCTGTTTAATCTGACAGATTAAGTAACTTTCACTAGCACGAATGATGCTTGTAATCATAATAATACAGCTTATATCTTCAGTATCAACAAGCGTCTTTCAGCATGAAATGGATGATCTAAATCAAGAACATGAAATTGGCATCTGGTAGGATGAAACGTGGCCAGTGGTGGGTAGTAAAACCGGCAGGAGGCTCTGCCCACTGACCCAGACATCATCATAGTGATCTGCGGTATGCGCAGA